AGCATGGCCGGAGAAGCGGTGCGTCGGTGCATGCCTGGGACCCGAACCCGGGCCGCCAGCAGTGGAGCGTACGCACTTAACCACTAAGCCACGGGGCCGGCCCTCAAAATATATTTTAAACTGATAACTCTCACCCAGAAATTATACAAAGAAAAGCTTCTATAAACCTGGTAAAATCGAAGTCATTGTAATTCAGTTACAGAAAAAAAAAAGGCCTGTCTGATGAAGGACTGTCTGACTAGTCTAATAGACAAGTATTTCTGAAGCCTGTTTAAGTCTATTACCCTGTTAATATATATCAGATTCCTGATTAAAAGCACCGTTATTGAAATTATTACAATAATTCCTTTGTAACTATTCCTTGTACCCACCTGAATGGGGCACACACACACAAGCAAGGCCCAGCCCATGAACAGCAGGCTCCTGGGCACTAGAGCAGACCCCACATATCCAGAATCTGGGATAGAAGCTTCAGAGCCAGCAGGTTATCAGTGTGTGTGGAGAAACAAGAAATCAATTTCTTTTCTGAATACATGGCCAACAACAAAGATATGAAACTGAGGAAGATATAAAATTCTAATAAATTTCTTTTGAACAATTTTATCTGTCTTTTACAGGAAAATGAATTATGGAAGACACAGGAACACGTTTATTGAAATTGAAAGGATATTATTTTAAACTTGTTGGATTTGACGTCGACATTTTAGAAAATTTAGGTGATTTTGAAATTAGAGATGATGAGGTCTTCATAATCTCCTACCCCAAATCTGGTAAGTTTCATATTCAATAGCTAATCTAATAAATAAAATGATACTTTTAAAATATGAGAACTTAGTCCTTTTACTAATACTATATTTGGGCATGTACTCTTAATCTGTTGTATATTATGAACTTAACTGAATTTAATATTCTGTGTAATAAGGGCATTTACAATGCAGCTAAGTTATTTCTGACTTTGGCGAGTTAAAGGAACAAAATATTGAAGGATTAAATTGAAGACAACATATCAAAGACTGAGTTGCTGAAGTGGGCTGGGAAAGGAAGCAGGAATAGTTACCATTAGGCAGCTAATGGTCCCAATATACTGAGGCATATTCTTGAAGCTTTATTTAATGACAAAGGGCATTAGTAGGAGGACATTTACCTTATACTCATCACCAGAATATGGATAATCCCCAAATATTTTTAATTAATCTCTGGGTCATAGAATGGCTGGTCCCATTAGAGTAAAATTCTAAGTAGTGATCTGAATGGGGAAGACCTTAAGGAGCTGCCCTTTTTCTCGCTTCTCTCCCAAGGTTCTGCCTCAGGGCCTGGTGCCTTCATCCCCTACCTGTGCCTGCCTTTTTCCTGCTGATGACCCCATATGACTAAGGCCTGATTTTTATTTCATTTTCTATTCTGTTTGTTCCTCTCAGACAGCTCAGTTTTATTTCTGTACTATATTCTGAGGATATTTTTTTGCCCCTTCCCACCCCCATTCATTCGTTCTGCTTGATAGCTCACCGTACTAAGCCCATTTCCAACGCCATGGGTTCCTGATTGCCTCAAATGGGGTCATCAAATGGTGACTCTTTCAGCTTTTAAAAAATATTGTATCTAAACCATAGAAACCAATCAGCATTTGTAAGAGCAGAGATATTTTAAATAATCTTTGAATATAGGTAAAACATAAATTCTTAGCAAAAAGTTGTCCTGGTATTTAAAAGGTTTTTTAGCTTCCAATAAAAAAAAAACAGTGCATAATTGTAAATTAGAGGGGTCCACAGAAGGAGAATGAAGGGTGTGAGTACTTTAACAATATTTTTGTTACTCCAGCTGAGTCTGTTGGACCCCGCAGTGAGCACTGCAGCTCTAAGGGAGCCCTAAAGGTCCTGTGTGCTCCTCCTGTAACCTTCCTAGATGAAAGCCAAGCCAGCACTTGATGAGCCAGTAGTAGGGACTTTTTTTGAGGATAACCTTCAGTTTCATTTGAAGGTAAGTGTACCTCCCAATTAACTAAATATTGAGATTGTCCTGGTGTAGCTGGGCAGCCAACACCCCACAGGGAAAATATCTACATTCAGGTTACCCTCTTGTGGATCTGTGAGAGATGTGGGATGTACAGTTGGACAGTGGTGGCCCAGAAAGTCCCTTTAATATATTAAGTTACCTTAATGGCTGTCAAGGGATTCAGCGTGAGACCTTGGGAGTGGGTTCCAGATACCATATTATTTGCTTCTTATGGGGAAGGGAGGATAAGATATACATTATATATACATTGATATATATTGTTATGGTCTGAATGTTTATGTGCCCCCAAAACTCATATGTTGAAATCTTAACCCTCAAAGGTGATGGTGTTAGGAGGAGGGCCTTTGGGAGGCAATTAGGTCATGAGAGTGGAACCTTCATGAAAGAGATTAGTGCTCTTATAAAAGGCTCCAGAGAGATTCCCTAGCTCCTCGTACCATGTGAGGACACAGTGAGAAGGTCTCAGCTGTGAACCAGGAAGACAGCTCTCACCAGACACTGAATCTGCTGGACACATGCCCTTGGACTTCTAGCTTCCAGTGCTGTGAAATAGATTTCTGTTTTTTTGAGGTACCCAGGCTGTGGTATCTTCTTATAGCCCCCTGAATGGACTAAGACATATATTGGTGTGTATATATATATATGTACAAATGTATATATATATATGCACACACACACTGTCATGGAAAAATACTTATAATGAATTGGTGAATTCAAAAAGCAAGTTGTAGAAAATAGCTATTCTATGATCCCATACTTGTTATTAAAAGAGAAAGAAGAAAGAGAGACAGAGACAGAAACAGAAAGAAAAATAACACAAAATGCATAATTTGTTTGAGTGTAGAAAAATGATGAATGTAGGGATGCGTATTTGGGTGTATTGTAGTGGGGGAAGAACTTCCTTCTACCCTCTCAGGTTCTGTGGCTGGCCTAAGAAATTGACGTGAGACAGATTAACAGAAGAAAACATGCACACTTATTTAATATTTTTATGTGTACGTGTGATTTTTTAGAAGGTGAATGAAGACCCAGAGAAGCTGTTAGGCCTAAAAGCTTATATATCTTTTTACACAAAGAACAATAAAAACGTGGGGATGTGACTAGAAAAAGGGGCTTGTGTTAAGGGCAATAAATTGTAGGATGGTGAGTAGGAAATACACGGGGAATCTAATGGAAGGTGAGGGTTATTTTAGTAGGTTTGTTGTACAGATCTGCCTTGGGGTTGACTCTCATTCTCTGGTGATAAAAATGTGCTTTTCTTCCTGGTCCAGGGAGGCACTTTTCTCATGGGAAATTGTATGACCTCCTTTTAGGTGAAAGGGAGAGGTCACAGAGTCCTTCTTGCATCTGCTGTTTCTCACACACCTTCAGCTGAAAATTATCGATATGCCAAGTGGCATATTTGGGGTAGAATGTTTGGAACCCATTCAGTATAAAAAAAATTTGAAGTATACATACCAACTGTTAGTAGTACTTTTGTATAGGCAGTGGATGAGGATATTCAGCTGAACAGATTTTAACCTTTAGATTTTACTTTATATGTATCACTAAGGTTTTCTCAAAAAAATATTTTCATTAGATTTATTGAGATATAATCGACATGTAATATAATCAACATTGTACTAAAGTGTACAACGTAATGATTTGATATATGTATATATTGTGAAACAATTACCACAAGTTTACCACAACATGCATCACTGTAAATAGTTACAAATTTTTTTTTCCTGAGAACTTTTAAGATTTGCTCTCTTAGCAACTTTCAAATATATAACACAGTATTGTTAACTATAGTCACCATGCTCTACATTACATCCCCGTGATTTATTAATCTTATAACTGGAAGTTTGTACCTTTTGACTATCCTCACCCATTTCCTCCACTCCCAACCCCCCATCTCTGGCAATCACAAATCTGTTCTTTGTTTCTATGAGTTTGTTGGTTTTTTAGATTCCACATATCAATGAGATCATATTGTATTTTTCTTTCTCTGTCTGACTTATTTCACTTAGCATAATGCCCTTGAATTCCATCCACGTTGTCCAAAATGGCAAGATTTCCTACTTTTTTCTGGCTGAATTATATTCCACAGTATATATACATATACGCATATATATATATATATAAATATATATAGCATATTTATTATTCCATTCATCCATCACTGGACTTCTAGGTTGTTTCCATATCTTGGCTATTATAAATAATGCTGCAAAGAACATAAGGGTGCATACGTCTTTTTGAGTTAGTTTTTGTTTCCTTCAGATATGTACCCAGAAGTGGAATTGCTGGATCATATTGTAGTTCTATTTTTAACTTTTTGGGGAACCTCCACATTGTTTTACATGGCGGCTGTATCAATTTACATTGCCACCAACAGTGTACAATGTTGCCTTTTCTCTATATCCTCACCAACACTTGTTATCTCCTGTCTTTTTGATGATAGCTATTCTAACAGCTGTGAAGTGATATCTCACTGTGGTTTTGACTTTCATTTCCCTGACAATTAATGTTGCTGAGCACCTTTCCATGTATCTGATGGCTATTTGTATGTCTTCTTTGGAAAGATGTCTATTCAAGTCTCTGCCCATTTTTTAAGTGAATTGTTTGTTCTTTTGCTATTGAGTCATATGAATTCTTTATATATTTTTTATATTAACCCCTTATCTGATATATGATTTGCAAATATTTTCTCCTATTCTGAGGGTTGTCTTTTCATTTCGTAGATGGGTTCCTTTGCTATACAGAAGCTTTTCTGTTGCATTTGCCTTTGGTGTCGTATCCAAAAAAATCATTGCAAAGACCAATGCCAAGGAGCTCACTGCCTATATTTTCTTCTGGAAGTTTTATGGTTTCAGGCCTTATGTTCAAGTCTTTAATCCATTTTGAGTTGACTTTTGTGTAAAGTGTAAGGTAGTGGTCCAGTTTTTTTCTTTTGCATGTGTTTGTCCAGTTCCCAACACTATATATTGAAGAGACCATCCTTTCCCCATTGTATATTCTTGGCTCCTTTGTCATATGTTAATTGACCATATATGTGTGGGTTTATTTCTGGACTCTCTCTTCTGTTCCATTGATCTATGTGTCTGTTTTTGTGCCAATACCATATTGCTTAGATTACTATAAATTTGTAATACAACTTGAAATCAAGAAGTGTGATACCTCCAGCTTTGTTCTCTCTCAAGAAAGCTTTGACTTTTTGGGGTCTTTTGTGATTCCATACACAATTTGGGATTGTTTGGTCTATTTCTGTAAAAAATGCAGTTGGAATTTTGGCAGGGATAGTGTTAAATCTGTAGAGTGCTTTGTGTAGTATGGACATTTTAACAATATGAAATCTTCCAATCCATGAGCACGGAATGTCTTTCCATTCATTTGTGTCTTCTTCAATTTCTTTCATCAACATCTTATATTTTTCACTGTACAGGTCTTTAACCTCCTTGGTTAAATTTATTCCTAGGTATTTTATTTTTTGATACTATTATAAATGAGGTTGTTTTCTTAATTT